TTGCTCTCTCTCTCTCTCTCTCTCTCTCTCTCTCTCTCTCTCTCTCTCTCTCTCTCTCTCTCTCTCCCTCTTTTGTACAGTGCATCAGCCTGTAGGTTGGCTTGGTTTGGGTTTTAACGCTGTGTGTGTGTGTGTGTGTGTGTGTGTGTGTGTATGCGGTGCAGGTTTGTGATGTGTTTTGTGGTCGGGGTCTCGACTGTGACAAGCTGGCGGATACAAAGATTGGTCGATACCTAGGCCTTGGTGAGTGATGTGTTTTGTGGTTGCGGTTCCGACTGTGAACAGCAAGTTGGGAAAGTCCCTGCCTTGAGCACCGACAGAAGCTTTTTTAAAAATGCAACGAAAGGGGAACAGAGAGGGGAAAAAACTTCAAAAAAGTTTAACCTGCTGATGCACCGTCGTGGCAATGGTAATCCAACCCAGCGCGAGAGGTACTCCTTTTTTTTTTTTAACCACTAGTACCTCCGAGCACCGAAAGTTTTTGCCAACCCTGAACCGAAAGTTGCCGAGCCTGGGTCCCATTGTGTTTTCTTTTATGCTTCTCTTCGAAAATGGGAAAAAAAAAAAAGAACAAAAAATAAAAATAAAAATAAAAAACTACGCTAGGGATGTGAAAGCGGCCGGATGAAGATTCTGGGGTACATGTGAGAGTATGCACCTCCAACGGGCGTTACAGCCCTGCTGAAATCACGGCAGCAGGAACAAACAAAAGCAAAAAAGCAAAAAATCAGCAACAACTCTTTGGATGTGAAAGCAGCTAGATACAGAATCTGGAGTACCTGTGACAGTATGCCCTCCCAACGGGCATTACAGCCCTGCTGTAATCACGACAGAATCTGGAGGCCTATTACATACATACAGCTATAATGATCGTACGTTGTATTCGGCGGATACAAATCATACACCTACAAGCTAATCCTAAGCCCTACCTGCAAAACATCTAACCAGGGTGGGCGTCATTCCCCAGACCGGGCCTCTTTTTACAGCAAAGTTATCCAGTACCTTTACAAAAAGGTCTACCGGGAACCCTTTCCTTTCGGCGGAAGAAGGGCGCATTTGGTACACCCACAAACTGTTGAAATACAGACCTACGATGTATTTGGCGGAAGAAGGGACCGCAAGTAAATCCACTAGGGCTATGCGGCAACCGGTGTTCAGCTACAGGTAAAAACCAGATATATGTAACCACGGGATGTTAGCAACTTAGGTTGCAACACAGAGGCCCTATAGTAGCTGGGGAGGGAAACCAACCCTTACAGGCATCGAAGAGGGTCAGTCAGATTCCGCAGACGAACAAGAGCCTTCCTCCGGATAAGATCCGCGGAGGTCTAACTCTGGGTCTGTGCATGCTTTCTTTCATCTGTTTTGCGTTTTTTTTTTGTTTGGGTTTGCCACTCAAGCTCCAGTCTCCCACTTCGTGGCCGCAAGTCCATTAGTATGTGTTCGTTGGGCCTTATGGCGACACGATAACAACCATAAGACAGATAGAATTCAATTTGATTGAATTGATGACCACTGGAAACTTGAAAGCTAGGCCGAAGGATAATTGGATTGTTAACACAAATATTTTTACGACTTGTAAGCTGTCTTGAAAGAGTTTCGGGAGCAAGAGGATGAATGCTAGTTATATACGACCAGGTGGAGTTGCACAAGATTTACCCTTGGGTTTAAGCGAAGATCTTTTTCTATTTTCACAGCAATTTGCTTCTCGTATAGACGAAGTAGAAGAAATGTTAACAAACAATCGTATTTGGAAACAACGACTTAATGAAATCCAGGAATGGAATGTAAATTAAAAAAAAAAAAGAAAAAAAAAAAAGCTATTAATTACTATCTAGAAATTAAATTCATTCTATCTATGCGAGGAGGAGTTTGCCGCTTATAATGGAGCTTCCTGAATCTAGTCATGACGGCTGGCATCAACCAAAAAAAAAAACAAAAAAAAACTACTAGTCTATTACTTACTATCTAGAAATTAAATTCATTGTATCTAGTCACCAAGAAAGTCTATAAGGCAACGAAATTACCTTGGGAAAAAAAAAAAAAAAAGAATCGCCGTGACGGCTGGCATCAACCATGCCCATAAGAAGAAAGGATTCCAATTTCAATATCAGGTCTGCATGTGAGCAGGTACATGGGTGTATGTACCAGGTTCCTTTTTGTTGTTTCTACTCCCAATTTCCTTTCCCTTTTTTTCTTTTCTACACCTTTTTTATCTCCTTATGACCTTGAGATATCATCGTGAAACTGACCGCGCCCCCACCCCCTGCAGGAAACCAACATGTGTCTGTGTAGGATCCTCAGATACTTTCAAATGTTTCTGTAACCTAAGACTCCAGTAAATTACCGTCTTCCCCCGAATACAACGTACGGTCATTATCGCTGTATCTAGACTGACAGATGCCTCAAATACGGCTAAATGACCGTGTGTTGTGTTCGGGGGAAGAAGGTCGGACCACTTCGCGTTTGCAACTCTTTTCTGATCCAACTCAATGGAATGAGATTAAACCGGCACCGCTGCCACGTCGTGGGCTTGGACATGTAAGTGCAATCAGACTCACTTCTCTTCACACTTCACATGCATGCAAACAGGTAATGCAGCAAACTGGGGACGAGCGCCCACTCAAAACTCAGAGATATGCAAATCACGAACACAGTTCGGATACAAGCTCACTTCAAGCGGCTATGGTGCAACAGCGCCTGTACAACTCTCTGTTCGCACACACGGGATCACCCTGGATATCCCACACGCCTCACACCGTACACACTCGCACACACACACTACACTCCTCTTCCAGCTATGGCGGCTATGGCTGCTACTACCCCTATCGCTATGGCTAAGCTCTCCTTCTCGCCCACTTCGTCTTCGGGCTCACTGCAGACCACCTCGCACAAGTCGCTGTGGCAGCGCTTCCGCATGGCTTCCGCAGGAATGAATGAATGGCTGGGCGCTGCCTCTTGATTTATACTTCTGTAACTCGTTGGTCTGCCCTTTTCCATGCCCGTGGTGCACACAGTCCCATACGGTACTTGCTTGACTGGACTAGGGACTGACTGGGACACTACCGCTGACTCAGCACAGGTGGACTCCACCACTTGCCCACTTGCCTCGGTCTACTGTGGGCAGTGCCCGAAAGGCCACTTCCGGATCTTCCGGAAGACCGTGGACTTGGCCTTTCGGTACTGTAGCAGCTACGACCTTGACCCTTCAGGACTGTAGCAGCTACGACCTTGACCCTTCGAAGGAGCTACAGCTACGACTTCTAGAACTCGCTAAGACTCCTATTCGACAGGTCTACAGATCGAACTCCTGTAACCTACAGACCTAGGACAACCTACCAACTGTGGGAAAAGACACGGGTCGTGGATTCAACTCCTGGGGTTGTCACAGATACTGTACACAGGTAAGGTAAAGACTAGGGATCGAGCCCTGGGGTCTGCATCGGGTACTGCGAACAGGTGAATACCGTTTCATAAGAGTAGTACAAAAAAAATAAAAAAAAAACAATTGTCTCGGTATTTCTTACCGTGAAAATTAAGCCAATGAGAAAAAAAAATATTGTGAAAGTAATTGTGAAACATGGCTTTCTTTTCTTGGTTATAATTTTTTTTTTTTTTTTTTTTTTTTCAATGCTGAGAATGCGCAGTTTTGTCTTCCTTGTCATCAAATCAGCCATGTGATCCATAGAGGGCCCACCCTCTCTGTTATCAATGACAGACTGAATCCTGCTTTTCTTCCTTTATCCTTCCTTGCACTTCCGTCGTTATTCCACAGCTGTGCGTATTCCCCCCCCCCCGTCTTCCCTTGGTCTGTCTTCGCTCTCTCCACCTCTCCTTACACGGTCGTCATCTGCTCTGCAAATGCGCTGAAGCATTCATTGTGCACCTATGACGGACGGGTGTGTGTGTACCTGGCGTTTCATCTTTATTCGACAGCTGTCCGTACTTTCCCCCCGTCTTCCCTTGGTCTGTCTTTGCTCTCTCCACCTCTCCTTACACGGTCGCCCTCTGCTCTGTGAATGCGCTGAAGCGTTTGGTGTGCTCTTGTGACAGACGGGTGCGTGGGTACCTTGCGCTGAAGCGTTCAATGTGCTCTTGTGACAGACGGGTGTGGGGGTACCTCCCGCTGAAGCGTCCAGTGTGCTCTCTACAAGACAGACGGGTGTGTGGGTACCTCGTGGTGAAGCGTTCAGTGTGCTCTTATGAGAGACGGGTGTGGGGGTGATGCATTCAGTGTGCTGTTATGACAGAGGGGTGGGTGCATACCTCGTGCTGAAGCATTCCGTGTGCACCTACGACGGACGGGTGTGTGTGTACCTCGCGCGGAAGCGTTCGGTGTGCTCTTGTGACGGACGGGTGTGTGGCTACCTCGCGCTGAAGCGTTCACTGTGCTCTTGTGGCACACCCTCATCATGAAGGTATTGAACCAGAAAGATAACTTGTATGCAGTGATGATTGGGGGTGGCGCGTTGTGTTTGGGAGGAGATGGTTGTGGTCGCTTTAAAATTTGCCCATGTTGGTTTGGCCCGGTGTTATAACCCCTTGTCGTGTTGGTATTGGACCGGAAAGATGGCTTGTATACATTCATGGTCCGGGTGCGTTGTTTTCGGGAGAGAAGATAGACGGTAGTGGTTGTACCTGCTCATGCTGCTGGTTGTTGTGATTGGTTTGGATTTTAGATCTGTCCGCGTCAGCGTTGAAGGAGGCTCAAGAAGAGTGGCGGAGGGCGGAGAGATCGTGCGTTGCTGATTTCAAGCAGATGGATCCTTGTATGGTAAAGTAGTCTAGATACATTGATCCGGTCCTCTTCTCGTCTCTCCATTCCTGTCACATGTTGTCACCTTCTCCTTTCCTTTCCCTCCCATTATTACCTAAATAGAACGCCCGCCAAGCAGTTAGCAGTTTAAACCACCACTTTGCGTTCTCACCTATGATGCCCGAATTTTTGTCAGACTTTGTGACCGGAGGTTGGCAAGGGTCAGTCAAATGTAGATCACGAGTTCGAGTCCTGATATGGTCAGACAAATGAATTAATGTCAGGGGTTACACCGCCCTTTGGAGAAAGGAAGATTCTTCACTAACAAGCTAGCCATTGTTAAAGAAATTTCAGAAATGGTAGGGTAAAGACTCCAGAGTCCAAAAAAACAAAAAGAAAAAAGACTCCAGTGTCCAGACATGTGGCAAAGCTCAGAATCTCAGCGAACATACGAGTGTGCTCAGTGAGACTGAGATTTCTCAGTCTGAAAACGATGCGGATCACTGCATTACTCTTTTCTCCTTTTCTCTTTTCTCACATGTCCCCCTACCCTCTTCTCTCTTCACTCTCATTGTGCATGCAGTATCTGCAGTCCTCTCTCTCTCTCTCTGTGCATGTGTGTGTGTGTGTGTGTGTGTGTGTGTGTGTGTGTGTGTGTGTGTGTGTGTGTGTGTGTGTGTGTGTGTGTGTGTGTGTGTGTATACACGGGGTTAACCGGGGATGTCTTTTTTTCGCTGATTTTGCACTGAAACTGTCATATTGCCCTGATGTTTTGCTTTTTTTCTTGTTTTTCTTTTCGTGTGATATGTAGGTGCAGTCCTGCTCGGCGGTCTATCCCCTTCCCTCCCCTGTGTGTGTGTGTGTGNACCCTTTCTCTACCGCGTCGCCAAGGCGAGAGTCTTCCCCTCCTTGGCCTTCCCACCCCCCCCCCCCCGCCTACCCCCGCCTACCCCCGCCTACCTCTCCCCATCCATGCCTTTTACCCATTATAAAAGCAGAGACCCACCGGTTTCCTTGAGGGTAGATACCTCTGTTGGAGATAATGGGAGACCCCTTATTCCCCTCTCCTCACCCCCCCCCCCCCCCCCCGTCATCCCAAGTCATCCCCCGTCATTCCCCTCATCCCCCCTCCCCCGTCCTCCCTCAGTTGTGGCGTAGACTCAACCTACCGGACTTCTACCCCGGAAGGTACTACTTGTTTGTCTACTTCTGCTCGCCCTATGAGAGTGTTTTTCCCTGCAGCAACCCTCAAGTCACGGCCAAAGGTAAGTACCGACCGACCCAAGGGCCTCCCAAACAAACAAGTACCCTGGCAGGTCACAGACACGCTCAGGCAACATACACCCAGACAGGCACACGGAAACCAGCAAGCACGTACACACACACAGACTTAGAAATCTCAGCAGAAGCGGGAATCTCAGCAAAGCACTCCTTCCAATGTCAAAACTCAGAAATCAGCAGAGTTCTCAGACAGTCACTGTGATTTTGCAGGTCATTACAACTGGGACTTTGTGATTTATTGGGACTTTTTACTGGGACTTTGTGATTTAGTGGGATTATAACTGAGACATCGTTTTCTCTGGCCTTTCTGCGGGCTTCTTTTTGCAGGATTGTTTTCACACGGAGGACAGGCTGCACAATTTTTTGCGAAATGCAGCTGCATTACTGAAGCCTGGTGGCTATCTTTTCGGTACATGCCCCGACTCTGGGACTATCTGGTACGATTTAACCTCCTCTTGTTTTCATGAATATGCTCCTCCCCGCTCTCATTTGGTGGATATGGCGCCAGGTGAGAGTGGACTCTTTCAACCTCACCTCTCTCCTCCTCTAACGCCTACAGCACTTCGCCCTAGCTCCTCTGACGCTGCCTCTGCACCTCCACCAGTGCTGGGCTGCGCCAGCTTGTGCAGCCTGGTGGCAGGTGAATGAACTGAGTAGCTGCTGTCTCTTATACACATCTAGATGTGTATAAGAGACAGGTGTGTGTGTGTGTCTTTCTGTCTATCTGTCTATCTGTCTGTCTGTCTGTCTGTCTGTCTCTCTCTCTCTCTCTCTCTCTCCTGTGCTCGGTGGTCTATCTCCTTCCCTCCCTGTGGTTATTCTCCTTTCCTTTTTTGCTTCTCTGTCCTAATCAGTCTTGCCGCCTCTTTGTATTCTCTCTTATGTGGTCCTCTTTGCAGTGTCAGGAGTTCTCTTTTTCCCAGGTCGGCGGTGTGTTGCTCTTCTGATCTTCTCTTCTCCTTTTCATTTCTCTCTGCTTTGTTCTATGGCTTGCCCTCTTGCATTTCCTCCCGTCCTCCTAAAGGGTGGGTGGTCTGTGAAAGGGAGAGGAAGACGTGGTTTGAACCCCTGCCATTGGATCGTCAATCCCTCGGTGGCCATTCGATTGACGCGGCAGACAGTGGAACAAAACTCTGGCTGTTCAACCATAGCGAAGCTTATGCGGCCATTGGATTGCCAATCCCTCGCTGGCTTCTATGTTCTTACTTCCCCTATCCATCGTATAGGATATTTCGGCTTCAGTTTGCTATAGTTTGCTATGATTCGGTATGGTTGGACTGCTACAGTTTGCAAATTTGTCCCTCTAGACCCTTTATATCTTTCTTTTTATGCCCTTGTGCTCTCTTCTTAAGCCGCCAGTACACGCCCCCAGCCTTGCTGAAAAGAGACTCCTTGCCTGGTCTGAAAGTTTGGCCCCGGGCCCCGGCTCGATGTTGATAAATTCCGTCAATGGCTGGCGTCGCGTTTCGGGCCTGCGAAACTGGCGGTGAGGGCCCCGTGGTAGACGTATGGCCATGTAGGTGGCTTAAACCTCCAGCTCGCTTTTGGTATGGCCTCATATGTCTTCCTCATTGTTTCGAGGTTACCGCCACTGCTCGGCAGGGTCTGGGTCTGCCCTGGTAGGCAGCCCGCCCTCTACCTCCTTTAAACCACCAGTACACGGCCCGAGCCTTGCAAGATTTCTTCATGGCCCACCCCAAAAATTTTGGAGGCTCGGGGCTATCGAACCACAACGGCTGGCGGCGTCAGCCAAACAAAAAAAAAGTGTGCTGCTGGTGATTCGGCAAAGCTTGGCGCGCAGTGCGGCGCGGTCAGACGCTACTGGTGGTTTAAACCACCAGTACTCGGCCCAGCTATCGGCCGCGGAAAAAAAATTGAGTAGAAACGTTTCTAGTTGGATGAATTTGGGCGCTCCTGTAGTGTCCCATACGTTTCCTAAAATCGTGGCGCGTTAACGGGCACTACCCTAGGAAGTACCGGTGGTTTAATGACAATCGTTCACTATTTCACGACTGGGTCACTATGGTCTTGTGGTCCTTGAACCACCAGTAAACCATGGTCCTTAAACCACCAGTAAACCCAGGCCTGGGTCACTGCATTTGCATTGCCTGGTGAACCCATGGTCCTCAAACCACCAGTAAACCATGGTCCTTAAACCACCGCTACCCCTGCCGGCCTAAAATGGACTTTCCTGGCCTTACGGACTGGGTTCTTAGGGGGGGCCCCGACCGGCAGGCGCAGGAGGGTCCGGTCCAAGAGTTTTCAAGCGCAAACTTTGGTAATTTTTTGCGCTCAGAAAAATTGGCAAAAACATCTGAAAAATTGATATCCTGTAGATTAGGTCGTGATCTTTCCAGGAAAAATATCAAAAAGAAGAAGAAAAAAAAGACCGTGAAGTAAATGCTGCGCCTTTTCGTCACATTTTCCATTTTTGCTACTCTACCATGTATGGGCCAACGGGAAAAGTAACCCAACTTTTGCAATTTTTTGCGATCAGACGGATGACCCAACAACTCTGAAAATTAGAGGGTCCGTAGATTTTGTTGTGATTTTTACAGGAAAAATATTAAAAAATAAAATAAAATCATTTGAACCGTGAAATAAATCGCAGGGGTAATTCGACACATTTTTGAATTTTGCCACTCCGCCAGTTCCCCCCACTGTGCTACCGGTAGCCCTCATGGACCTGTGCTACCGGTTCCCCCTAATTTATGAAGGCGGGGGTAGTGGTGGTTTAAAGCACCAGTAAACCCAGGCCTGGGTCACTGCATTGGCATTGCCTGGCGAACCGTGGTCCTTGAACCACCAGTAAACTTCTGGCCCAGGCATGGTCCTTCTAAGACCGTAGTGACCGTATCAAGAGTTGGGGCCTGGCTATAGCCTGTGCATTGCATTTGCCCTATCAAGAGAGCGCCTTCCCCAACCCTGCTATCCATTGTATATGTCTGCCCTTGTAGACCCCTGACCGAGCCTACGCTAGTCCCGTATCGGTGGTGTAGCCTGCCCTAAGCTGATGGCGGGCACCCCGGTGGCGCTAGTCTTCATCTTGCCGTCAGCGGGATCCGTGCCGCAAGGGGGTGAGAGCAAGCGAGAGGAGACAACCTCCTTGTCTTCGGGTGTATAGTCCGTACGCTGCCCCCACATTCCCAGTCCGGATCCTATACGAGGGTCTATAGCCCATCAAGCTCAATAGCCACTGGACCCAACAGCCTATTCCTATTCAAGTGTCTATTTCCCAACCAGACCACCCCACTTGTACCCACTTGTACCCTCTAGGGTCAACTGGACCCCTTTCGAATTGAGACAATCATGTACGGTCCTCCGGGCGCGGCATGCCCCCCTCAATTCTTTTTGGTCTTGGCCAGGCAGCGACACTCACAAGCGGCAAAAAAGGATTTGAACCCTCAATCTTAGCCTTGGCCTGGTTATAGACTCTATACGCGAACCGTTAAGCTATTTCCGCCATCATTCCACTTTATTATTCCATGGTGCGCTCGCCATGAGTGAGTGAGCGAGAGGGTGACGGAAAACGCTCTTGCGAGTGCGGCTCGCCGGCAGAGTGGGACTCAGCAGATTTGAATGAACCGAATCGGCTTTACAATTATCAGTCGTATACTCTAGCCAACTGTGTTATGGGCCCATGCGTGGGACACAACTCTCAGGCCCCAAATCCGTAGTTTGGTCCTCTATCCAATTGAGAATATGAGATGTAAGCACATTGATTACCAGCGGTAGCCGGGCAATGTAATGGCGCCGATAAACCATATTGTAAATAAAAGGGATGCTGGACCCGGTTTCCAGCAGGTGCCCCTCCCCACCAATAGATAGGAGCACCCGACCCGACAACTAGGGGGAGCTGCTGGCAGCACTCCCCCTAGTAGAAAGGCGGCTAGGTTGGATAGTAGGGACAGGGGGTGCGCTGGGAGTATTAACGTGGGGATGGGTAGGTACTAGGTGGCCTATCCTGTCAGGACAACCATTGGCTGCCGCTACCAGCAATCACCGCGGGTCTGGTCCTTGGCCTCTACAACACCCTGGGCATTTTTTTTATTTTTATTTTTAAGAAAAAAAGGAAAAAAAAAGAAAGGCGGCTAGGCCACCATAGTGGCCCAGGATCACTTGCCCGGCCGGACCCAAAAAAAGAAAAAAAAGAAAAAAAAAATGCTTTCTGAAATTTGAATTTTAAATTTGGTAAAGAATTTCGATGTGACCCTGAGGCAAAATTTGTTCAGTTTATTTTTCTGCGTAACATAGCTAAAAAAAAAAAAAATGAAAAAAAATGCAGGCTGCCCTCTCCTCATATGGGGGGACAGCTGCATTTTTCTAGGCTATTTTCTTCTCGGAAGTTCTCGCAATATTTTTCCATCTCACAGTACCTACCTCCGGCGGTGTACTCCAACTGGTCTGCTCACCCCTTCCAGACCTGCAAGGGGCACGGCAACCCAACCAGCAAGGAACCCAGCTCCATGTTCAGCTACTGGGGACTTAAACTCACTAGCTAGCCTACGCCAAGCTATCCTGAAGTTATGGGTCTACGCCCACCTATCTCTGCTCTGTGTGGGGTGCAGTACCCAAGCTGCTAACACCTGGCACGAGCTGGAAAGCAGCCAAATACTTCCAGGCCCAAGCCAACAATCTCGGGCAGTGAACCCGAAGCATATAGCCCCTGGAGGTCGCGGGGGAATCGAAAGGACGACGTTGGCTATCGAACCCACGACCTCCTCTGTGCCACTTACATGCTCAAGTCATCCTTTCTATTCCCATGACTCTTTCTAGGTTACCTGCCAGGTATCGAACCCACGACCCCCAGGAGGTTGCGGGAATTGAAAGGACGACTTGGATTTGTTTTTGGCTGGTACCTTCCCTGGGGCTTGCACGGCCGGGCTGCCCGACAAAACAGGTTGACCCGAGAGGCACGGCTGG